GTTTTTGTTTAGGATAGCCATCAGCTGTCGATGTTCTTCTTCTAAGGTTATCCGAAGAGGAGAAGATGCTCCAACTGTAACTCATTTGAGATGGTGACCGTCTCCCAAGGTTTGAGTGATACTATAGTTCGACCTTGAGAGGATATTTATCTTCGATTTCCCATCTCCCGCAATGTTCCTTTCGCCTCCAGCTCGCTGCCACCTTCGCTGTGGTTTTTATTTTCGCCCGGAAACCGCCTCCCTGTTGTTTCCCTGGAGTGGCCATCACTCCCGGTTATTTTCTTCTTACCGCCAGCCCTTCCCAACTGCTAACTCCTTGCTTCCAGCCCTTCCAGCTCACTGCCACCTTCGTAGTGGTTTCTATTGTCACTCGGAAACTGCCTCCCTGGAGCTGGCATCATTCCCGGTTATTATCTTCTTGCCGCCAGCCCTTCCCAACTGCCATCTCCTTGCTTCCAGCTCTCCCAGCTACGACCTCCTAGCAACCAGCCCTTCCTAGTTGTTGTCTTCTTGCCGCCACCCTTCTAACTATTGTCTCCTTGCCGCAATCCCTCCCATATGTTGTCTTTAGTCGCCAAACTACACCAACCATCTTTCAATCTCCAACCACATCCCCCTTATTTCAGTCTTCCTTCCAACGTTTAACCAAGCGCTAATTGGGTGTTTATGTTGTATGTTTGTTGTTGTATTTTCTTTTCGTTGCGATCTTATAAATGCTTATTTGCTTTGAGTAATATTTTTTTTTTTTTTCATTGTAGTTAGGGTTTCTAGCACACCATAGCAGGTACTTGGGAGACCTGAAGCAGTTTAAGTTGAAGTGTGAGTCGAACGAGACAGGAGGTGTCTCGTGTAGTTCCTAATTAGGAGCTAGTTGCAGGATCAGATTTGGTGCAATGTGGTGCCCATTGATGTTTGTCTCCTTTTGTTAAGGAGACCATGACAGTATGATTGTCAAACTCAACATGATGGAAACAAGAACGCCTACTCATTCACGAAAGATAGAATGTGCATCGTCCTCTTACCTTATGCAGAATCCAACGTTATTGGTGCTCATGTCAGAAGAGAAATGTCGAAAGGATCAATCATGGTGTTGACAAAGGACCGCGAGACAAGAGTCAGTTGCATCTAATACAAAGGGAGTTTTAGGACATTCTGATTGATAGCTTATAATCAAAGTTGCCACCATTCGGGAAGATTTTGACTTCCATCAATTCAAATCTGGTTAAGTCAACTTGGGTTTACTTGGGAAGATTGAGTAGTATATATGTGACACGCAAACCTAGATCAATTACTCCCCAAAGATTGGACCAATATGGGTCAATGCACACAAGCAGGGACAGCTCCTCGGGTGTTTTGGGAATATGTACAGCCAGCAGTGGGATCAAGTTACTCATACCAACGCAACTGAAGGCCCTTTAACCACGAGAGGTTATAGCAACTCTGCAACCTTCAACCGATAGAAGCTTCGACAGATGAGCTTGAAGCTCCCTCAACCCCGGAAGACTGACGTGGGCATCGTTCCCCAAGGTCGCCATCCGCGACTCCTACAATAGTGACGCGGGTGTTCGCAACTCGAATCGGTCCAGGATGGTTGGTTGGCACTTCTTCGTGGATTTCCCTCCTATTTGGAGCGGGGACCACTCATCTTTACCCTAGGATTATATATTTGTTGTTTCTGCATGTTTAGGGCAATTATGTGTATGTTAATTCATGACAGTTGTTGATTGTCAGTGTTCTTCTTCAAAGGTCCTATTCGAAGATGAGAAGATGTTACGGCTGTAACACGTTCGATATGGTAGCTATCTCACAAGGATCAAGTAGTGCCCGGATGTAGTTCGATCTTATAGGGATATTTATCTTCGATTTTCCTTCTCCCTCAATCTTTCTTTTACCTCCAGCTCGCCATCACTGTCATCATGGTTGCTACCCGTTGCTTCCCTGTTGTTTCCCTATAGCTAAACATCACTCCCAGGTGTTTTCTTCCTACCGCCAGCACTCCCAACTATTGTTTCCTTGCTGGCAACGCATCTCAGTTGTTGTCTTCTTGCCACCAAACCTTACCAGCTATTGTCTCCTTGCCACCAGCCCTCCCAATTGTTGTCTTCTTGCCGCCAGCCCTCCCCATACGTTGTCTTCTTGTCGCCAGCCCCATCTATAGTCCTTTTTTGCCAACCCTTCCATCTGTTGTCTGTTGCCGCCATACCGCCCCAGCCACCTTCCTTTCTCCAACCACAGCCCCCTTACTACAACCTTCCTTACACCTTTGAACCAAGCCCTAGTTAGGTGTTTGTGTTGTGTGTTTTTTGTTGTATTTCTTTATCATTGAGATCTTGTAACCGTTTTATTTGCTTCGAATAATAATATTTATCTTTCCACTGTTGTTTGGGTTCTGGTATCATGTTACTTTCTAATAAATAAGTAAAAAATAAGTGTTACTTTCTCGCCTTTTTTTGGCTTTTCATTTCAATATTTCACCTTTTTGTTGCTTTATTTTTTTTTCCCAATAGAATATGCATGATGTTCTATGGAATAAAAGTGAAATGAGAGGAAAAATAAAATGACAATTGTGCTTCATGAATTTCGCAACTCAAACTAGAAATGAAACTACACGCCTCCTCTCCATACACTACAAACTTTGGAATGTGTAAAAATGATATCCAATATACCCTTTTTTATAGCACTCATTTGCCCATGAGGGCACTCTTATGGGCAATCATATGAAGAAGATGAGATAATATTATTTTAAATAATCATAAAAAAAAATTTGTATACATGCAAATTTAAGCAAATCGAGAAGTTGATGAAAAATATTGATAGTTAAAAATTATTTTTCATGAAAAGACAATGTAAAAAAATGAAAAAAAGGAAAATAAAATAAAACTATAAATGAAATGAAGGGAAATCTTAAAAAGAAAAAAAAAACTAGAAAATTACCCAAAAAATAAAGATGAAGAAGATGCTTTGGGTTTTCTTGTATTTTTATTTTGCTCATTTCATAGTGCTAACTTTTATCTTATTGTTACAAGGAAAGGAATCGACATGGTTGCAACAAACAATTATCCAATTATAATAATGAATAATGAAATGGTATCAACCCAAGTTGAACTAGTCTTCTTTACCGAGATCTTGAAATGTGACAAGCATATTTTGAGCATTGCTAATAAGAGTAATTGCCCATAAAGACAAGCATATTTTGAGCATTTCCACAATGACGTGAAAAAATCTCAAAATATGCTTGTCTTTATGGTTAGGAGGTTAATTAACCATAAAGAATATGATTTGATTATCAAAATATCCAATTTTGAGCATTGCTAATTTGAAATAACTTCAAATTTGATCTTCAAAATTAACCTCCTAACCATAAAGACAAGCATATTTTGAGCATTTCCACAATGACTAGTTCAAATATTAGAATATCAAATTTGAAGGAGCTTTTTAACAAAAATATTTCAGCTCAAAGTCCACAATAAGCAAGATTTAGTGCCTTGGCAATGATGGGTGCAATCAAGTAAATACTAACCAAAGGAAAGTCCAATAACCCCATTAAAGCAAAAATAACAATTATATATATATTGACGCGGTTCCATGGCTCATAAATTGTGTGGGGAACACTTAAAAGGGTTAGGGAAGTTGTAGGATGGGTAATAGGAGTGGAAAATCTCATAAAGGTAATTTTCATGGGGTGGGATCACACCTAACCCGTACCGCAATTGCGGAATCCGCGATTCCGTGGGATTCTGTGAAATCTCAGCTCACACGTCATAATTATACCTATAATCGAAATTTATAAGTAATTGTTTTGCACTCAAAATGAACATTCATCTATCCTTCGCACTATTTTATTTTGATTGACAAATTTAAGTATAACCAAAACTTATAAAAAACCAATATCATAACCATTATTTCAATATGATCATGCCCAAAAACCTCATACTAATAAAATGTGACAAATTTCCTTCACGCTGCATAGTCATGTCTAAATATGCTTCAAAACCAAAATAACTGAATCAAGGGTCAAGCTCAAATGTTTTGAATAGCTAAATCTATAAACTGTGATACATAAGGCACACACAATAAAGGATGAAATCCTTCGTTAACTAGTTAGCCGTGAAATTCTCCCATTTTACAAAAATCATTGCCGGATCCACAAATCTCGTTAGATGATGCAACTCAAAATTTATGATAAGGATCCTCCAATCAGATTAGGTCATCAACTACATTCATTAACCAAATATAACAAGATTCATGATAACCTAAGAATTCATTAGCTTTGTCATAATTTCCCACACTATCTACTCTAAGCCAATAGTAGCATATCAGTATCTCCCCAATCCAAATTGCTACCACTAAAGAAAAGCATCATAGATCCTATAGACTAATTTTAAATGAAATATTTCATGAAAGAAGATAAAAACTATAAAACTAGACAGTCAAATTTTTTTATGAGGGTAAAATCTCTGGCAAGTGATATATCAACTAGCAAATCTATCTCTTGACAAATCAATCCATGTACCTACTCTTCTGCATACAAAGCTATGCTGTCGCTTGAACGCAATCAATCATAGAATGCAGATGCCTTTTTTGTCAAGGTTTTAAGAAATTTTAACATATCTTTATGTTGAAGTTCTAATTGAGCTACCTCAGTATCATGCTCAAATGAAAATAAATGCTTGAGCATAAAATTGTTTTTAATCAAAATACATTTACTTTAACAATACCTCCATCAGCCTTTGAGTTTTAGAAAATCAAAATACGTCAGATTAAGTTCTTTTTTTATGTTCATTGGGCAAGTATGCGCTATGAGATCCTTCCACACAAATAGCCAAAAAAAATGATCTAAGAGTCTAGTGTTGATGTCACACTTATGGTCAGAAAACTTAACAAAAAAGGGACATAACACATGTCAGCAAACTTACATTTGTACCATACAACGTGAAAAAATCTCAAGACAGAAAGACAACAATCACAGTTGCAAATAAATTAGGGTCAGTAATACTTGCCATTTGAGGAAAGAATTTCCAAAATTAATGTTCTCCCCACTAAGCAATGACTGAACTACTTTTTCGGTAGAATCACAACTAGGAAGGAACTCCATGAGAAGCTTTCTTTCGGATACAGATAGACAAGTCATCCAGACCTACGAAAAATAAACCAAATGTTTCAGCCCAATTGTAAAGGAGACACCTATTAGGTGTGAGTCTAACTGATTATTAATATTTAAGGGGAGGAATTACAATTAAAGTATCTATTCACCTTATGAGAAACCACATCCATTAGATTATCCAAATTGAATACTTCTTTGGGAAGAGAAAAAACATCAGCTAAACCAGAATGAAACTTAGGCGCCGAATCAACAAAAGGAGACATGTCTTTCCATGGTATCCCAATTTGCTCCCTTTTTGCCACTACTCTCTTTTGAGCATTATCCCATTCTAAATGTATATGTGATCTCAAGTTCAAAATATATTCTGATGAGTCTATTTTCTTTTTCTTCTTTCCGCGTAGCTCGTGCAAATTGGAACTTTCTAGACGCTTCCTTTGTCGACCAGCTGCCATTTATAGGCACAAAAATATTATCGCCAGAAGAGCTGAACACTGCTATCTGGTTCTCGACATCTACCATAACACATGCATTTTTGCAGGGTAGAAAACCATAACTGTGACAAAAGAAAGGGTTTGCCATCCATACCCAAAAAGTAATAAGAAAATTCAGCTTTGTGCTCTATATCTTCTAAATTAGAAAATAAAATCACAAAGAGAGAGATTAAAGCAGTATGAACAAAAGTTGTAATTTGAGGGTAGAGAAATTTATTTGCATCTTCGATTAGTAAGCTGGTATATGATATTTATTGCGAAAATAAAAAATACAAAAAAACAACTAAAACTTGGCTCTCCAAGAAAAAACAATATTAGTGTGCCAAAAAAAAAGGGAAAACAAGCTCTTTTTACTGTGGCATGCAAGCAACACGGTTACTGCATTACACTGATATCAAGATGCGCTAATACAAGATTCATCTCGTCTAAAAATTTTCATTTCCTAAAGGAAATCCAAAAGAACATTCCCTTGATCAAACCTATGGTTATGTTCATTTCCTCCTTTCAATCACTGACATAAAGATGTGCCTTGTCAGTTAGCTTAATCAGATTTTTCGACTATCCATGAATTAAACAGCCCGAAGAAATTTTGGATAAGGTTTCAAAAATAGGAATTGGCTCCTATTTTTTTATAGATATGACTCCTTAAAATGTGACATTTTAAGCTTGATGCTGGTAAGGCCATAATTACAATATATTTTCGGCATTACAGTTCTAATTCCAACATGTAATAAACTTTTCATGGTTTGACGGACCTCAAAAGATACACTAGGTGATTCAATGAAAAGTGAGATCAATAACTACGAGAAATTATCAACAGCTACAGAGTCATATTCAACTTAAAAAATAAAACAAATGGGCGATTGTATAAATACAAGCTACAATAATGGTTGTCAATGAGATCCTTACTACTAAAGTGATAGCACCATCTCTCCAATGCCAATTGTTTAGAAAGAAGAAGAGAAATCTGCTAGGAAAATACTTACAATAATCCAACAACAAGGAGAGCAGCTAAAAATAATAATTTCTAAATTTTACAGACAAGCGCAATAGTTGCCTAATCTTATAAGGAAAAATAGCAACCCCTATACTTATGTTTTGGTTTGGCAAGATTTCCATACATACCATTTAATGCCAATGTATTTACATATCAAACCCCTAAACTTCAATTTTTACATTTATACCACTTTATCTAATGCATAAAAAGTTATATTTCACTGTTTAAAAGTTAAAATAGCGGTACTTTTTATGTGATATGAAAGATTTAAGTGATATAAATGTAAAAAGTGAAGTTTAGGTTTTAGATATTTAAATAAATAGGAATTTTGGTTTGTATGTAAATGCCCCTCTGGTTTATTGAAACCCTCAAATTACTAGTAGGGTTTCTTCTGAAATCCTAACGGTATGTTTTGAGAATTCAACGGAATTTTATTATTGATTTGAGAATTCAGTAGAATTATTGATATGAAAGAGAGTATAAAAACCTTACATGAATCCTAGAATATGAAAAAAAAAAATATCATGAAAGGAAAGATATAAAACTTATATCTCCAATTAATCAATTCATAATAATTAATTGAAGATAAAGAAAACGACATAAAATAGGAAAAGAAATAAATCTAATCCAGAAAAATAAATCTAAAATTGGAAAGAAAATAAATCTAATCAAAGAAAATAACTCTAATTCTCATAACTTCTAATATAATAAATTATTTCTTAATATAACTTTTGACACTCCCTCTCAAGTTGAAACACGGTTGACAACCATGTTCAAACAATGGACGAGAAAATTCTTTTTGAGTTAGAAATTAAAGTCTATATCTCGTACAGGGTAATTAACACCAAGAGTATTTAACGATTTTTTTTAATTGACTGTAGCTTCTACAGTACTTGTAGGTAGGCAGAAGGCTTCTACAGGTAATGTTGAAGGCAAGTTTGCAGTAAAGTAGACAACCTACAGGAAAAACTGACTTCTAGTTGACTGTGATTATCTTTGACTGCAATTTTTGCAGTGTCTGTAGCTGAGCGAAAGCCTTCTACAGGTAACACTGTAGGGAAGTAGACAACCTACAGAAAAACTACAAGGTATGGCTTGCAGTTAAAAAAAGGAAGAGCACCTGCAGAAAAAACTGCAGGGTGTGACCTGGGGAATGACCTGAGAAAGGGACTGCAGTAGGAAGAAGCTCCGGAGAAGGTCCTGTTGCAGAAAAAGATTTGAGGGTCTGTGGAGATTTAAATATTTCAATTTCTCTCAAATTGATGCTACTTGCTCCATTAAACCATTTGCTATGTGGGTGTGACTAAGATTAAAATGTTTCAAGTTATTCAAGAAAACTAAAAAGTTGAAGTTGCTAATGTTTGAGTAAGATATATCCACGAATTTCCAGCAGCCTGATCGGAAACTTGAAAAAACCTAATCTGCATCAATAAAAGTTGCTCCAGTAACAATCAACGTTGACAAAGAAGAAGTGGCAATGTTGTCTCCTTCAACTATAGAATGGATAATGCAGTTACCCGTGTTTAAATAAGCAATAGAAAGAAAAGGTAATCAAGTAAGTTTTGGTCCAAGCTATATTCAAAACACTCAACATAGGAAACTTTTTAAATCTAAGTGTTCAAGCAGTGTCAGCACCTCCTATAATGATGATAGTGCCTTATCAGTGACAGGAATCCCTCCCAGATCCAACACACGGAGATTTACAAAAGAAGAGAGGCAGGGCACTCCATCAACAATCAATCTTGTTTCCAACACGCAGCTTCTCCAAACTTGAAATGGATAATAAATGCTTAATTCCATCATCTGTGACGCTTGAGCATCTTGACAGGTCCAATTCTTTTGGGCCATTGTGCCTTCTGAAGTCAACCATTTCTCGACGCTCTCGCCGCTTGCATTCGCAGCTTCAATACAGAGATCCACCAGCCCTCCATCCTTTTCCATTTTCGTTTGTCTCTCCTTCTAATTCTTCTGCTTCCCCTACCGAGGGGTTGATCTAGTGAGTTGTCAATAGTGCTATCTTTTTTAAGGCCGACAACTATAAGCAGAAAGACATTGCTGTCCTTATCGCAAGAAGTATGGGAACTAAAGGAATCTTCAGATGAGCTTGTAGACGGACCTGGTGTTACGGCTTTGAGGGGAAAACGAAATAAAAAAAACTCCATACAGGCTTGCAAGAACTACAAAGGAAGAATGCAGGAAGTTCTCATGAGGAGGCCTACAGGTAAGCTTTCACGGGAGGTAGATCTCACGGGAAGGCAGGTAGATCTCACGGGAGAAGGGTCCCTGTAGGAAGGAGAGATGGCCAACAGGAGAAAGACCGATGACACGCCTAAAAATTACCTACTTTTTCATATATATTTTATGTTCAATTTTAATAATTTTAAATGATATTACACTTTAAACAAAGGTATTTTGTATATTTTTTGTTTCAAGTACAACAAATGGACTTTTCGAGAAAATGAAGCAAAAATGGTGCAATTTAGAGTAAAAATGAGCAAGAAAAAAAATTCTGACTTGGCACATTTTTGACTTGAAAAAATTCTGACTTGGCACATTTTGATATGTTTTTCTATGTTTAATCTACTTTACATTTTTCACATATTTTTGAATGAAACTGCATTTAAAAAAAATGTTGTTTTCAAGTTTATTTTATAGGTATATCTGTTATGAGCAAAACGCAACTGAAAAGGGGCAAAACGGAGCTGAAACGGAGTCGAACGGGCGTCAGAGATGATATAAGACTGATTAAGGCGGTTCGGGACAAATTTTGAGTGGATTTTGAAGGCTCCAAATGATTCAAACGCCTCATGGAGTGATTCAATGCATCTAGACAATTTGGAAGACTCTTTAATGAAGGGATAAGTCTCTTGAATGGATGGACATGTCTTTTAAGATTCAAAATGTGACTTTTGGAGAGAAATTTGGAGGGAATTTTGAATTTTTTTTGAAAGGAGACAACCCCTAATTAAAAAGAAGATGAGTTTAGGGCATGAGTATGGCGTGAGAGTAAGATGAAGGCTTTGGAAAAGAGAGGATTTTCTTCAAAGGTTATAAGAGGAGAGGGAAGCTGAGAGATTTCTTCTTCATTACATTTCTAGAAGAGAATTGAGTGTGATTGTAAAGAGAGAAAGTGCTTAAAGAAAAATTTTAGGAATTTGTTTGGGAAGGAGTGTGAGATAAGTTGTGTTTTTTTTTTATTTTTATTTTGTAAACTAGTATTTATATATGAAATTTGTGTTTTGTCGTATCTCTCTCATGAATTCTGAGTAGTCTTCTTTATCTTTCTCCCTACAATGAAATTTGATTTTGTGATGAATTGATTTTGTTATATACAGTTTTAAATGTCAATAATTTATGATGATTCGAACTGTGATATTCATTTACTTTTTGATTTGACCAATTGAAATGTTAAAATGTGTTGAGAAATATATGATCCGAAAGGGCTATGATTTTTATAACATGACGAGAGTCACATTCGATTTCATGTGAGAGGATGTCATCCATGGGGTTGAGTGCAAATAAATGGGAAAATCTACTTTGTTGAATGCAAAATTAGAGATTTTGAGGTGACAGATTAAAATCTCAAATTTAGCCTAGTTGATTGGAAACTAATGCGAGATTGTTAGCTCTCAGGTGAGGGAGTAATGAGAGTTCTAGAGTGTCAGCCGGTATCATCCCAACCTAACCACGGAATTAGGGACCAACTCTGGATTATTTAATGTTCTTTATGCACTTGAAAGAGGGTAAAGAATAGGATTGCTCTTATTTGGTACAATACAATTTTATATATAATTTTAAATGATTTTAATTACTTCACTGACCATGTACTCATTGTAAAGAGGAATGATGTTTTCTTAAATTTGAACTATTCATCACAAAATTTTGTTTAGACCTAGTAAATTTAACATTGAAGTTTAGAAATTAGTTTAGTAAAATTAGTTCTTTTAGTTATATTTCTATTAGCATTTATTAAACTCATTTTAACTTGTCTTTCTTACTTTAATTTTTATAGTTTGAATATTGTGATTTATATTATTATCATAAGAATTTTCATCTTCCAAATTA